CACTAACTCTGGGGCGTCTAATTTGCTGCTAATGTCTTGCTGGTGTACTGCTCTGTGGCTACATTCTTTCTTTGGGTTTATGATCCTGACACTTTCTTTACGGCCGCTTTAAATTCAGCTTTTGGAATCCAGCATCAAGAGCTAATTAGGCAGGCTGTAAGACACCCTTGCCAAACAAGTCAAAACATTTTGAAGCCATTCATTCCATGGCTGGACTTGATGTGAACAGTAAGGCGATATTGCTCACGTTTGTTGACATATATTATTATGGTTATTGCCATTATACCCCACGTCCCCAGAGTATTGTTTAAATACACGATACAAGAGATGAAAGCAAGCAGATAGTGAAAAAAGGAAAAAAAAAAGGAAATATCATGTACTTGTTAGTTTTTGGCATTGTGTAATTAAACCATCTCCTTTAATGTTATTTTTGCCAGTATCTAATTAGCAGAGCCATCTGCCTAAGAAGTGCTGGACCATCTGTCTGGAATACTGTTCTGTTCATTTCTTGGTTCTTGACTAATTAACTTCTTTCTCTATGAAATGTAATAGTACATTCTGTTTCTACATTTCCAAGTTCTTATATAAAGATATATATGAATGCATGCTGTCTACCTGTATATGTTTTGAATATCTGTGTAGCTACAGGAACACAATTCTCCCAGGAGGTCTGGTTGTACTCAGTTATGTGCAGATTTCACTGTAGGTGAAAGCCACACTTTTTTTTGTTGCCCTGTTGGTAAAACTAATACATCTCTCACTTAAATAATTCTAATTGGCCAGTTCTTTATTGACTGTGTTCAAATCTCAAATTTCCTGTCTACGTTTACTAATTAAAGTTAAAATTATAGAAAGGGGCCATGTTAAAGGTAAGGGCTCTGATTTTTTTTTTCCTGTTATATTTTGTATTTTTCTGGAAAATTATGTGATAATTTAGGTCAGGAGGGACCTCCAGATGTCTTGCCTGAGGACTTCCTTTGTTGCTGCATGTTGGGCATGTAAGAGAATCCCTTGACAGTTACTTCTATGAACTTTATTTACTGTTTCTACACTTTCCATGTTCCTCTTTTAATATTCTTCAAAGGTATTTGGATAAATTAGTTTAAATTAAAGATTTTCTTACAGTTTTTGTTGCAGTTAGTTTCTTTGCAATCATTTAGTTTAACTTGCTGAAGATAAAATAGTTTAACTTCTACACGAGACTCTTACTGTTCATACAGAGAAGTTACTAAAATATATCTGTTGTTCCAAAGAATATTATTAATTTCAAGAATGTAATTTTTAACTTAACATATATATGGCTGTTAAATGCCCATTTTTCTTTGTTTTGAAGATAATAGTTTCATTGCATATTCTCGAGTTGGAATTTTCTTTCTTCGTGGCTGGAATTTCTCTCCTCCTACTGCCCCTTGAAAATGCCAGGAAAGATTTCATCTGAAGTTTTGAAGTTCTTTACAAACATCAATGTTTAAAACACTTATACAGTTATTTACAACTGAGGTTTTTCAGAAAGCTGCCTGCCATCAGTTCGAAACTTGAGTTCAAACTTAGAGTGTGCACCAAAGCCTTGATTTTGTTCAGCCTGATTTTATTCAAATCTGTATGGACCTTTGTGGTTCATGCATTTTTTTTAACCTAAGAAAACAATATGTGTTCAAAAGTGAGCTGTGACAACCTCATCAGAGTACATGGGTTAAGTTCAAGTTGTATCTTTCAAGTGCAGTCTTTAGAGTTTCTCACTTTGACTTTAACAGCACTAAAAATCTCACTACATTACATAATTAAGGTTTATTTATGCATAAAAGAATGTATTTATGAAGGAGATTGGGAAATTAGGAGCACACTAAGTCAAGTCATTAAATTTATAGAGGTGCTTGAAAGACCATATTGATCATAGGATTTATAAAAGCCATGTCATTGTAAATATTGTCAACTTGTTATCAGAAACAGACTGGTGTGCCACCTTAACCTATACAGCTGTGCTCTTTGTAGAGTCGTGTAGTAGTAGCTGTGTATGACCTGTCCTTATTTTCTCTGGCACTGACTTTCAAATCCCTGTTTACTCTTCCCCAAGAGAGAACAAACCTGAGTGTCTGTAATTTGGTTCAATGAACTTTGTTGCCAGCTTAAGTAGAATTATAACATTAGTTAAAACCAGCACACTGAATGCTGCAGGTTGTAATTTGAATGTGAAAATTGAAGGTTCTCATTAAGAAAAATAGAAAAAAAAGTATCCTAATAGGAAAAACCTTAGCTGTATAGATCTTTGTAGTGAATCACATATCCAACATGGATTGCATGTCATATCTGCACACCTCCTCTGAACTTCATGGAAATCTCATCAATCAGTATTAAACAGGAGAATATGTCAATTTAAGGGAAGCCGTGGGTAACAGTAATATCTGTAAACATGGTTTTGCACTTGCTTTCTAGAATAATGCAATCCATATGTGTCTATCTGGTCTTTCAGAATGACAATTTTCAAGTCGTAATCTTCTAATGGCAAAACCCACATTGTTATTATTCTTTCGGGACATTTTGTTTTTTCTTTGTGTGCTGAAGATTCAGGACACCTTTTTCTCATTTTTTTCCCACATTGAAATGACATTTATCTTAAAGAGTTTTATACCTGTCTTCCTCCTGTATAGAAGCGTTACACTGTGTTGAGTATCTTAATTTCCATTTTGTGGGAAACTCCCCAGAATTTCCTAAAGATTAGAAAGTAAAAAGAAAGCAAGCTCTATGTAGAAATGTTTGACTGCATTACTGTACTATGTGGGAACCTTAGGGACCAAATTACAACAGATTGAACTACTCAGTTCTCTTCAGATGCCTTTGTTCTGTATTTCATTTGCAGCCTCCTCTATTATTATCTCCTCTAGCAGTGGAACCAAGGGCTATGGCACTATGAGTACACTTGGTTCCAAAGAGGGGACTTTGCTTCGTCACCAGTGTGTCTGCATTTATTTCTTGTGCACATATTTCTTGTGCACTCCTTTTTAACAGGTGTCTTCATGACTAGGGCTTTCCCAGAGAGTTGGCCACTTGGTTAACTTGCAAGCAAATATATTTATATCTAGTTGTAGCAGTTTCTTCTGTTTGGATTCTTGTATGTGCTGTTAACTATGATGTCCAGAAATATTATATAATGTTTTAATATTTCACATACTTCTCCTTCAAATTACTTTTACTGTGGACTTAGAGCCAATTGAAAGCTGGGTATTTTGCCACTGAAAATTGATTTATAATAAACATTTTGTATTTAATGCAATCTTTTTTCCTTCTGTTCGTGTCTGACATGTTTTTCTCAGTTCAGTTTTGGCAAGAACTTTCCTTCAAACCTTCCTTTTAAGTACCCATATTTCACTCTCTTTCTACTCTGACCTCCTCCTGGTAACTAATTCTTCTGTTTCTCCAGGCATTTGAAATTTTCTGTGTTGTTCAGAGATAACATATTCAGCACTTGTGCCTTATAACATGGAGGTTCAGTGTGTCCTAATGGATTGATTAGGAATTCAGTTGGTCATCCTATGATCTCTGTTACAGATGTGAATTGCTTTTTGCATTACTGAGTCAAAAGAGTCGGGTCATTTCTGCTTTTTTATCTAACTCAGTATGAGATTTCTTTCATGCTGCTAGATACGGTTTGTTATAAATTCTAGGGTCATTCACAAGAGGATTCTTCCAGAAGTTTTCAATATATTCCCCTGTACACCGTACTCATTTAGCATTGCAAAAGCAAATGCTGTAAATAGGAAGGTTTACGATGGAGGAAGAGAAGTAATTACATTAGTTTTCACAAGTAGGTTTATTTTTTTTCTTGAAGCGAAAAACACTCATTCTTGGGCTTGTTGAAACACAAATACTCTGAAGGCATTTTCCCCCTTAATTTAGACAGGCTTTTGCCCTATTATTAAATAGAGAGTCTGCTTGCTATTAATACAGTCTCCATTAAAAGACAGGTAAAAAATATTTTCTATATTAAATCTGGATAAATGGTCTTTCATTATTTCCTTGTAAATAAAAATGAAAAGGCCATAGTTTCAGTAATTAGGCAGCAGTGGTTGCTTCAGAAATCTCAATTCTTCTTGATAAAATGTGCTTTGTGGCATTTTTATCTAAGGAACATATGGATGTGCACCATTGAGGTGAAAGAATGCAGCCTGATTTAAAATGCACTTTGACTACACAGGCATATAAAGGCATTCAAATATGTACATGTATTGGCACATTAACACCAAGCATGCAACCTGCTCCACTGAACAGCAAAGTTTGTAAGTCATAGCTGCTGAATGTTAGATATGGAAATAACTGGAATTAACTCATACAGTAAAACTGTAGTAATGCAGACTAGGCTTTACAGTCTTGGCATAAATCTCTTGAAGCAGTGAGACAGCTCGAAAAATGAGGATAAATTGCTTCTGCTCTGCAGTGCACTGTTTCACTGTTGTCTAGTATGTCTCTGCCCATGGCTTCTTTCTCTGAATGGATGTTTTAGTGCTTCTGGTTAGTGCTGCAGTCATACTTTTAGAGACTAAATTCTCCATTTGATGCTTGAGATAAATATCTCAAAAAGTGCAGTAGGGCACACTTTCCCATTAAGCAAGGTTTCTCAGCAGAGCTGACCTCAGATGCTATGGTGATGCAGGCCAACTCTGTTGGAGAAAGAGGTTCAGCCTTTCTGTGTGCTCCTCTATCTACTTTACCTCATAAAACTCACAATAACAACAAAAAAAGGCTAAATAGTATTGGTGTAACTGTGGTTGTTTCTGCAGTAGTGATTGGTACAGTGAATCATAATGTTGGCCAGCTTTCTTTTGGATTAAAATAATGAAAAACTTCAACAACAAAGCTACATTTCTAGGGAGAAAACTCTAAAGAGGCATTTATGGATAGGATCATCCATAGCTAATCATCAGTATCTCTGAAGCACATAACACAGCTCAGAGGCTTACATTTCTGGATTACCTGCTTTTCTAACAAATTCCTTTTGCTTGCAGGCAGTGGAGTGGCAATGTGATGAAGCTACTAAAAGAGCCTGTTACAGTAAAGGCAAATCAAAGGTAAGCACGGGACGGCTGTTCTGCTTTAATAAAAATATTATGTTAATAACAGATGTAATTCAGTGTATAAATCCCTACCTTATGCATTTTTGCTGTCTCCTTTTCTGAAGAGAGACATAGGAGAAGAGTCTACCACTGATGCATAAGCAAAGAAATAAAGAATACTATGAAGGATAGAGTCACATGATTCCTGTCTGAAATGGCCATGAACTTTAGCTTCCAACAATTTACTGTTTTGACACCAAGGTTAAGCATATGCATGACATATGTAGTGAACTCTATTCTCACTTCATTTTCTGTGATGTAAATCCTGAATAACTGTGTAATTACTTTGTAAAATTCTCAGTTTATAACCCTGTGTTTAAGATGAAATTTTATTAACTTTTTTATTTCCTATCTACTGGTACCATGAAGAAAATAATATTAAGTGCACTAACTTCTTAGACATTGAACTTGATGTATTTTTGTACTTAAAACCAATTCTTTATCTGGCCAACTGCAATTTCTATTATTCAGTACAGGAAAATGTAATGCCAAGGTGGAACCTTTGGCTGTGCCAACCTGAAGCTGGCTATCAAATTAATTATAAAAGCAATTAGAATTGCATGCAATCTATGTTTTTAATTTTTACACTGTTTAGTGATTGAAGTTAATTCAACTAGAACATAAAGGGAGAACACATCAAGAGTGATAAGTGCAAAGGAGCACACTTTTACTCAGTAGAATGTGTTGCATACATTGCTGTTGTGCAAAAACTCAAAAAATCCCAAGCTTCAAAAACATATTCCAATAGCTCTATCATCTAGTAAAGGAGGAATCTCTTCTGCATAGTTAGCTAGTCACTGACTTTTACATTTCTCCCATTAAACAGTGAATTTCCAGCTCCTTTTTTGCTAAGTGCTAGGAAATAAAATTGCAGTATATGATTGTACTTCTGAGATAAACTTCTGAGGAAGAATAGCCTCACTTCTGAAGCAGGGCCATGTTACACTATGAGGTATAGAAAAGAAAGGACATTTGGAACCTCATATTTTAAAGAAATGTTTAATTTTCTAGGTTGTTATTTTTCCCTAGAAAATTTATTCTTCAATATGTAATATATCCCTCAGGCCTTTATCCTTAGCTTTCACATGACAACACCTGGAAGTAAGGGAATATGGTCAAGTGTCAATGGAGAATGTCACAATGCATTGATCAAGAGGCATATACAGTAGAAACTATTCTGGTAGGAATGCTATGTGTAAACAACAAACATGGCTTTGTTTCACTGTGATTTTCCAAGTTAAAGCTGTGAGAATAGCATTCAACTTGTCTGAAAGTCATAGTGCAGTGACTGTTATCTAACTTGATGGATGGAAGTCATTATAAATTCGAGGCTATAGCAGTATACTTTGGAATAATATGTTGACAACTCTGTTACCACACATTCTATTCAACAGTGTAAAGCATCTGTTGCTACTAAATAATTTTGTTAGGAGAAATGGGCAGCACTGGTGATACACATCTAAAAATGGCCCTTAGTGTAGTTTTTCATTCCTGCAGAGTTTCATTTATGCTCATCATCCTTTTTTGAAGAGATGATGATTGGAAGTTAAGCTGTCGCTGTAAAATGGTATATATACAATTCAAATAATGACCTCTGCGATTGTTTTTTTTTTGTATTGTTATTACTTGTCTAAGGATTTCATTTGTACCCATAGCCATGTTCCTCATTCAGAATCTAGAAGAGGGGTTTAGTCTTTATGCTTCATTACATTCAAAAGAAATCCTGGGAGTAAATACTTCTTATTGTAATCACTTGGGTTGGTTTTTTTTGGTTGGTTTTTTTTGTTTGTTTTTTGGGTTGGTTTGTTTGTTTGTTTGGGTTTTTGGTTTTTTTTGTTTTTGGTTTTTTTTGTTGTTTGTTTTGTTTTGTTTTTTTTGTTTTTTTTAGTTTTTTTTTGGTGTGCAAACTTTGTGGCCTGAAAGGTTCATATGGGAGTTGCTGGAGAATGCAGAGATACTGTCTGAGAAAACCTACCCTGCTGGAACTTCAACTGTCTTTTTGAACTTTTCATGCCTCTTCTGATTTCACTGATGTGGTCAAGCTTAAAAGGAAAGATAAATTTATGACCAGAGAATAGATAGCCAAATTATGTTTGTCTTTTATTGCCTTATTTCCAAGACTAAAGCAAGGTCACTATACTCTCTGTAGAAGGAGAGCCTTCCCTTGGAAAAACTGGGAATTTTTAGATCAGGAGGAATTCATTCCAGTCCTGCATTGTCCCTCTTCATAGGAAATCTCTGCAAACACAATTCCAGTTACTGTTATCAGGAAAACTTGATTGCTTGCCTGTTGTATAAATAAATGCAGCCTAAATTGCAGAGTTGCTGGGGGTTGCATTTCTGTAGCATTTCTCAGGTGAATTCAGATTTCAGGGCAGACACATGTAACTGTAGGAAGACACAGGAAAGACTGGAGTCAAAATATTCAGGCCAGCCTTTCCTGTGGCAAAGGAGAGATGAGGATTGCAGGGATGGCTGTGGGTAGGTTACTCATTCAGATCCTGGTTTCTGTAGAAGCTCTCCTGACCACAGAGCAGCTCGAGGGCAATAAGTTCAGGTGGCAAAACCTGAACTCATGGCTTGAAAGTCACTTTAACTGATGGAGTGAATGCCCTGAAACCAGAAGGTGGCTTTGAACCCTGAAGCAACTCAAGTAGTTTTGAGATAATGGTCAGTGAAACACACTCCTTTTTTTTGTTCTTGAGAAAGAAGCTGCACGGAATTTTTGCCTGTGGCTGTTATCAGTTGTTCTGAGGTTTATGCTTTAGAAGCCAAGGAGGGAAAAGAGCTGAAGGGGAAAATATACAGGGACATCTGTCACATTTGACAGTGTAATGTGCACTTGACTTTTGAAGGCTGATGTTTGTTACTCAGACTTCAGACATTTATCTAGCAATTTGTGCTTTTGCCTAAAATAGCTAGTGGCTCCAAGAGTGAAACATGCAAAATTATGTCCTTGTGGCCAGCATGCATTAGCATGTAGGAATCTAAAACACCAGACAAGATTAAGAGAATAAATTTGCCTATTCATACTGACACTTGTGGTAGGGAATGTTAGAAAGAAAAAATATAAATGTACTTGTTGAGAATGCCAAACCAGTGAGAGGTTGAAAATAAAAATGCTAATTGAAATTAAGTCCCATCTCTTGCTTATTTAAGATTCTAATGGCTGGGTGTGTAAGTATCTGAACCATCAATAAATGTATTTAAAAATTAAATGCAGGTATGTATAAAATGTTAACCTATACAAAAATATTGCTGTAAGAGGATAATTATCTTGCAGTCAGATTGACCTTGGATTGTCAAGGTAGTCTTAAGTAACTACAAGCAGCTTGCTTGGCTGCTGAATTGTTTCTAATAGTCATATTTTTTTTTCAGATATGCCGATACAAAAGTGGAAAGTACTTTCTAAATGCATTTCTTTATTTCAGATATATTTTTATAGGCAAATAGGAAAGTATATGGCATAGAGTTTGAGATGAACTGGAGAATAAGACTACATAAAAGATGGCTACCAAACCTAACACCACTCCCGAGCTAAAATATTCTTTGGTTTGAAGTCATTTGCCACTTCTACAACATGCATCTCATTTTTGCATGTGTCAGAAGTGAACCAGTACAGCCAAACTGGACTTCAGAGCTAGAAAGGTATCTCTGAACAATTCAAATGACTTAATAGTGAAATCCTTTTTCAGTATGTTTTTGGGTGGTGATAGTTTTATTCACAACCAATTTTTTAAAATTTTCTTTTGCATTAATGTGGATATTTTTTTCAAATTAGTAAAGTAGCCAATTAAAAAAAAAGATATAATTCCATTTTCCATTTTTTGTGCTGTGATGCCAACAAGAATTCCATATGAGATATCTAATTTGCGTGGTTGCACTATGGATTGTTGTCTAGTTGGCACAGGACTTAGGAACGTTAAAGAAAGAATCTTGTGATTCCCAAGAATGTCAGAGTTTAAGAAATTTGCATTATTTTAGAACAAAATGAGTGGGTGATCAGTGTGCAAGTAATTTGAAAATGACACTATTTCAGGGAGATCTGGAACATGAAGAGGAGAGGTTGGATGGGTTGTAATGTCAGAACCCACTTATTTTTCCTACATGTACATTCCATGCCTTTTTGCAAAGGGCAGAATGGAAATAGACCAATGAATAAATTACTGTTTTACATTCTGGGAACCTCCTTGAACAGCTTTCCAATGAAAAGACCAAAAAAAAAAAAAATCCCCCAAAAAGTTACCTTCTAATTTTTGGGGTTTTTTTTAAGTGATGGAGTTAAAGCAGTCTGATAAGGAAACTGCCAAAACTACCAACACTGCCAATCTGTGAAATAACTACTTTTTTAATGGCTTGTTCCATTGCCCAACTCAGTTATATGGTTGTGTATTAGCTTCATCGTGGTTTAAAGAATATTAAGATGCCAGTTTATATAGTTCAATATAAAAACATCGTATTTTTTTTACCCAATAGGAATCAAATCTTACTTCTAAGCTGTTTGTCCCTTGCCCTTAAAGACTCAAAGAGAAGCATTTAAAAACTACTTTTTCACAAGAAACTAATGCAAATGTGGGTTTGGAAGGTATTTTTTCCAAGAGGTAGTTTCTTTCCTGAGATTTTACAGGATTTTTTTGAATTTATTTTTAACTTGACTTTTATGAGGAAAGGTATAGAAGATAAATTGTAAAAGTTTTCTCAGAGCCCTTTAAAGTATTTTTCCCATCTTCTTTTGCAGTGTACTTTGTGCCTGTTCAATTTATTTAGGATTATATTTGTTGTCTTCCAGGATGAGAGTCTATTTTCGAGATAAACAAGCAATCCATTTAATAAAACTGTAGGCCAGATAATGGGACTTCTATGCTATTACTCTTGTATGGATTTACTTACATGATTTCACTTAATATCGGCTAGAATTGCATAGCTGTATTTTCATAAGGTTTTTTTCAGACTTTTTATGAGACTATCTTGTGGTGAATGCTAGAGAGCATTCAAATGTAAGTTTCCAGGAAATTTTATTTTCTCCAAACATATTGTTGATCATTTTATTGGATACAGACATTGATTTTTTTCAAGAGAAGTGTTTAAATTTTTTCTCATACAGTTCTAGGAAATTTTTAGTACTGCAGGTCAAAGCTTTCTGTTTGAATTAACAGTAGACATTGCTGTTGATGTCTAGCTCCTGAAATGAGAGATATGAACATCACAAAACCTTTATCCATCCTAATGGGGTAAAAAAACATGTCAAATTATTCCCCATGGGGAGCATCTTTGTATTGTGGTAATGAAATTTTTTGAGAAACTTTGAACGTACAGGAAATGAGACACTTCTAATAAAGTGGGGTAAATTATGAAATTAATGGTAACAAATCCACATCAGAACATCTCAAGAATTTTATTTTTACTAGTCTTACTATAGTTTTGTTACTGACAACCTGTTCTTTCCCTGTTTTCTTCACAAGTTCCTTTCTTGGCCTAATCTGTCTTTGAAGTCAACATTTGATCTCTTGAGACAGTACTGTATTATTTAAGTCAGCATTTATCAGATCATCTATCTGAACTATCAGTTCAAAATTTAGCTAAGTCTTTGAAATATATCCTGAGAGGAAATCTTCTGTACTAGAGAGGTTTATTTTTATCCTATTAAGAACTTTTCAGAAATGTTGATGGATGCATGTATGTGAATAAGAAATCTGTGCAAATTGTAATTGCTAACTCAGGTATGCTTAAGCCTTGTTTACCTAATTTTTTTTTTTTTGTTGATAAATAACCACGGAAAGCAAAGTGTTATTAGTCTTCTCTGTACTCTGCAGTGTCCCTGAATATATTCTTTCTTTTTTGTGTGGCAGGAGGAATGTCAGAACTATATTCGAGTGCTTCTTGTTGGAGGCAATCATCTCTTTACCTGTGGAACCAATGCATTCACTCCAATCTGCACCAATCGCACAGTAAGAGTTAAAATATTTTACCCCACAAGCTGGAATCCGTGCTCTGAGCCAGCAAATTAAAAGGCAGAGCATGTTGTGGCTGAGAGCTGGCTGTTTGGGTATTGATGGGTGAGCTGAGGTGTAAAAGGCTGATTTAGCTGGTGGCAAGCCAAATAGAAGAGCTAACCAATCTCTTTTTGCACTCTTTTCTTCTGCTGTGGGAGGAAAAGTAGTTCCTCCTACATGTCAATTTTTATGAACCTTATGTGTTTATAAGACTTCTGCCTCTGTCAGGTTTGATTGGCATCAATAGGTTTAGTTATCAAATGTGGTTGGGTAGCTGCATACTGTGTATGTGTAGTTCTGGAGAAATGAGAGTACTTGTATTAGTGATTTCTGACTAATCTCATTCTGGTGAGAATGAGAAATCTTGACTGAGATCTGTCATTTTATGTTCAAAATAAGCCTAATTGTAGCATCAGTAATAGTCATAATAAGTATAAAAATGTCACTGTTTGGACTAGGCTGCCTATTTGTTTCAGGAGGGGAGAATCACTTAAATACAAAGAATGGCTGTATTACTAAAAAGCTCATTGGCAGATTTATTATATTTAAACCCATTGCACACCTTTATTTTCAAATAGCATATTAACATCATGCTGTAGTTTATGGCTGAAAGTGTTTGGGCTACTAAATCAGAGTTTGTTCTGCTGAGTTGGAAAGCTCCTTTTCTTACTCTCATTTTTCATGTGAGATTTTTTTTCCTAAAACACATCAACAAAACAAATAATGTTGTCCTCTATCGTGGATGCTGTATTGATTCTGGCTATCAGGTTTGGTTTTATTTTTCATATTAACAGTCTTTGCAGAGGTAACTAATTTTTGAGCCCCTTCTAATGGAAAACATTTAGGCATGGTGGATAATGACTGACATGTATGCTTTACATATCGAAATGGCAAAAGTGAGATCTGGCAACACTACAGTAAGACTTTCTAAAGCAACAATTTCAGATTGATGTAGAGGTTGGTTACACACAAAAATAAAGTAGATAACAGGTGTTTGTCATAGGATTTTGCTCAGATTGATGCAGCTTGGCTGAAATGATAATTTTCAGGTAATTTTAATCCCTTTTTCTAATTGTTTTACAGTTAAGCAACTTGACAGAGATACATGACCAAATCAGTGGCATGGCTCGTTGTCCCTACAGTCCCCAGCACAATTCCACTGCTCTTCTCACTTCCAGTGGGGAATTATATGCTGCTACAGCCATGGACTTTCCAGGAAGGGATCCTGCTATTTATCGAAGTCTGGGGGCCCTTCCTCCTCTCCGAACTGCCCAGTACAACTCCAAGTGGCTGAATGGTGAGTGCTGATGCACTGTGAGACTCATCTTTTTAACTCATGTTCATCATACTCTTGGTATTGAAATCCCATTCTGAGAATCTCAATGTTTTTGGAGTATTGCTTATTTAACTTTATTTTGCTTTTTTAATATATTATTTTACTGGTATAAGTACTGTGGAATTTAGTTCATATAGCTGAAGCTTATAGATGTGCCTTTAAATGCACGTCATTTTTGTAGGCACAGGGATGAGATGCACATACAGTGCTCTTACATGGCAAAGCTGAGTCAGCTTTGAGCAGCAGCTTGCAGTGAGCATACTTTTCTGAGTCCCTCAAAACCTAAGGCAGAAAATAAACAGTTTGGAATGGACTGAATTCTCCTGGCTTTCCCTGCAGGTCCCAGCCTTGACAAGCAGAAAAAGTTCAGCTTTCAAGCTGCTTAGGTGGCAGACTGACATTTTTGACACTTATTATAGCTAAAGGATAGGGAATAGATTACAAAACATATCATAAAATTGTGTTTAGCAGTCAATTTTGTTTCATGGATGTTATTCACATGATGAGGGTTTTCAGCTGGGAGAAACTGCGAACAGGCAGGGATTCCCAAGATGTGACAGACTGAGTTGCCATTTTGTTTATTACAAAAACAAAGAAGCAGATTCTTCTGAAATGAAAAATATTATTAAACATAAAGTGTAAAATTATGTATATTATAGTTTGCCCATGCCGTTCCAGAAGAAAAAAAATAAAAATCATAATGCATGTTACGTGACACAACAGTCACTATTCCTACAGTACATTTCATGTTATGATGGGATTAGTCTCATGTTGGAAATAAAATACGAATATAAATCGTTCTTGCTTCAGAACATTTGGTCAGCTGCGAGTAACAGATTTTATTTTGAAAATATCCATTCTCATATAATGTGAATGCTGAATTGTGGTGGTTATACGTCTGGTATATTTTATTTGAACAGTGAACCCATCAGAGGTAGCTCGCAGAAATTTGTGACCTTTTCTAAAGGCTGGATCATTTTAGAATGTTAATTATCAACAACAAAAAAAGTCCTAAATTGTGTGCAACATAACAATTATAGCAGTGCAAAGAAGTGAGGGGAAAAATGAAGTCATTGTATGTATATCCCTGGTCAGATACCCTTTGTCCACTCAGCTTGGTATTGAAACTAATTGCTGTGCCAAACCTGCGTGCTTTTGTCAAAGGGGAAAAAGTCTTCACACAGAATTTGCAGCTTAACAGGGTATTTTTATGCCAAAGGCATGCTAAAATTCCCTCTAGGTTTCTCTAATTAATCATATTCACTGTATTCACATTTTGTCTATTAAAAGCTTCAGATGTACTTATACATTCTCTGTTAGAGTTCATTCTTCTGACTCAAAACTGTTTATAATTAAGTTACCAGGAAACTGTAGCTTTTATCTTTGAGGAGGAAGAACAAGATGAGTTTTGTAATTGGAGCCAGATAAAGTAAGTCCAGTGAAAGCCTGAAAGCAGCCCAGTCAACTGTATTAAAGGGAGGGGTTATTATATTCTTGGGTAGCTAGGAGTGAGGGATTCATCTGCTTTTATGTCAATTTGCATGCTTTTATGATTCAATGCCAAGAAGCTGCATTAGTTTTTCAGTGCTTGGATTGAAGGGAAGATTTTGCTGCTTTCACTGAGAAAGTAACACAGATCGATAATCCTGCAAGAAAAGTAAGGCATCAACAGGAATGGAAGCTCCCTAGTCAATATCTGTTATGCATCAGTAGCTCACAGTTACTGTAATTCAGCCTCATTTGAGGTGCTCATGTGCATGGATCTGTCAGTGTTTCCAATTCTAAGTTTTCCTCAGAAGCACCCTGTTTTTTCTCACTAAGATTTTCTCCTCTGTGAATCATGTTGGACCAAATCAAATCATCTCTGGGAGTGATGGTTGTACTCTGAAACACAGCTGATTATCTTGTTCTGTGCTTTATTGCTATGCAGTAAAGACATTGTTGATTTTAGTGGCTAGCACAGCAAATTCGGAGATCTTCAATCCCATCAGTCAGGCAAAAAGGACATGCCTATATGCTGAGGCAGTCTGCTCTTGTTCACTGTACCTTTTGGTGAAGGATCTTGACTTGCAAAGCTCTTAATCACAGGAGAAAACTTGTTCCTAATCTTGTCAGAAGGTCTGTAATCACAGGAACATTGATATACAGTGTTGGAGAGGAAAATGGAGCTGATGTGTCAGGTGGCTTGGGTGAGATCCCATATTACCATGATGTGATTTCAGCCTCTGGAATCACAGATTTCACCAAATAAGATACATTTACATTGTTGACTGAGTTTCCCATTTGTTCTGGTTCAGCCAGAGTCACGTATTTATTGTCAGATCCTGCCTTCTGATGGGGGCTTGATAGGTCTGGGAGCAATCCACATCAGCCAAGTACGTAAGTTAGCAGCTATTCACTGAGCATCATTATGATCAGTTGCTTAATATTAAAAGATTTTTGAGAAATCAGGTAACTTTCATTTCTGAATTACCATTTTCTTGATGCATTCAAGACTCATTTATCTGGGGGGGGGACAAAGATTTGGTTAGTTCAGTTAGAAGTATTAATTATTCAGCATATGCGTTAAATTAAGCTACAGAAGTATGCTGAGAGAACATAACTGAAAGGGAAAAGGTAGATTAATGTGAAGCACAAAGATTTTGAACAGGCACAAATCCAAAAAGTTAGATGGACAGCACAGCAACATTGCCAACACAGAAACCCTGTTTCTGACTGGAGCTAGTTATTGTGGAGCCATCTTTGAGGCTCTGTGAACATACTGTTTGTTCACCTGCTAGACATGCTTCGGAATTTAACTCCCTGCATTTTGTCTGGTTTGAAAATTTTTATTGGCAGAAATGACTGTTTACCAAATGTTACAGATATCTGCACACTTCCCCAAAGTTTTTCCTGTTTTGGAAGATTTTAGAGTGTGCATGGTCATGTTGTCTTCATTGATGGAGGAAAGAAGCATCTGGTGGTACTTATTGAACTTAGTCTCTTTTAAGATTTACAGTAGTAATTATTCAGCTCCTGAATATCCCTGAATAAGATCAACTGTTCCTTTTTTTATTATTATTATTTCAGAACTTCCCTCTACTTCTAGGAAAATAAATTGATGTTCTGTTTATCAGTGCTATTTCTGTCTTCCTGGTGCTCCTGTAGAGAACATCAAATGCAGCTGGCCCAAAGGCAATGAGCAGTTTTTTGACCACAGTTGTAACCATGCAGAAATTCAGTTTGTCTCCGTGGTGAGATGCCACTGAAGCACCAGGCCACTGTAGTAGCACTCACCTTAGTTCAGCAGGGGTTGGGCTGCCAATTTATCAAGTGACAGTGCAGGGAGAGACAGCCCCTGTGTGATCCTCTTGCCAACCCCGTCAGTCACTGTTCTCAAAGCGAACACAATCACCTAGAGGAGTTAAAGAGAGCTGCAAACCAGCTCTCTCCCCATCCAACAGCCCTGCTGGCTGCAGGATAGTGAGCCTGCAAATGTGAAATAGAGAAACAAACTCTCCTTCCCATGGTGTCATATTTTGGCCATCTCTTTTCCCATGTAAAGGAAAATGGAATGCCTGAAGTTACTCCCATGGATATGTATATATGCACAAACAGATGAAGAAAGTGGAAAGACTGTTTACCAGTAATTTATTCTGTAAGGTGTCCTGTTCTGCTGCCTACCCTCTCTCTCTGAATCCATGTTCAAGTGTTTCTGTGCTTCAGAGAAACAATTTGAGGTGATAGAGCACACACTGAGGGTTATGTCTAAAGCAAACATCTCTCCCACTGATTTCTTCTCCTGACCAAAGCAGTCAGCAAGACCCTGAGCTTCAGCCAGCTGCTCAGGTCAGTAAAGGGCAACATGTTGCTGGAATGTTTTAAAATTTCCATTGTAGTATTTCATGAGAAGAATAGTCTGCCTTACCAGTCTGCTTTGGACATTATTAAAAGATAAAAAATAAATTATTCTTTCATTAAGCTGGCATGCTGTCTGTTTCAGTGTCTTTAAGCTGTCAGTGTAACAATGTTTAAATAATATCTGGAGTTGATGTAGTATGCTCCTAATTAGACTTTACTGTAGAGTTGATCTGCAAAGTGCAGCAGGGGCAGAATTTGTCACAGTTTTCTCTAGAGAACAGAAGTAAATGTAATAGTTAGATTTGCTGTCCACAGTTGCAGTGCGTCCAGATTGGCAGTGAAAAGCCTTCAGTGTTTAAAGTTAGAAACCTTTTCTGTAGTCCTACATTTACAGTTAGTAAAGGTATTTCTCCTTTCAATACACCTCTTTAAATCACTAAATATTATCTGATACCACAGTGTGAAAGTTGGCCTTAGTCTATAATGTCTGTTTGCTTCCCTCAGCCAATAAAAGGGCAAAACATTAGAAAAAAATAAAAAAAAAAAAAGAAAAGGAAATCCCTGTCTGTTTCATCACACAAAGAAACCCTAGAACGTTTGGTTTCATAATTTGTCAGATGCCTTTCCTTACAGTTGCATGGGTCTCCAATTATCTTGAAATTATTTCAGCCGTTTTCTTTACCCTAGACGTGCAAGGGTAGATGCTATCAGAACATATTAAATAAATAAAATCTGTGTTCTAAATGACACAACATTTCATCAGTGGGCAGATGATACATGATTAAAATTTAATCCTGGATCAGCTGCAGCAATAAAATAAAACTAAAATAAAATAAAATTTAAAAATAAAATAAAATAATCTCTTCCAAATGAGAAGCCTTTCCATCTGAGGAGATGAATGTTTGGATTGTTCTGCTTTACTGGTAGACATAATATTACCATTTTTCCTCTTGCTCTTCTAAGAATTTGGTTATTAGATACGCTTACTAAAGTGGTTCTTCTGAGATCACTTTCTTAAAAACACTAATAAAAAGATTATTAATCCAGAGCAGATACTTTTAGTCTTCACAAGTAATAGTAAGAGTAAAATTCTTACAAAGGTGATTTGGCTAGTGGGATTT